AGTTGCTTTGCATGGTATATTTGATTCCTTGCGGAGTTGCAGCGATTCATTTTTAATCACACAATAACTTGCTGTTTTTACACAACTTCAGAGTTGCTTCCTAACAGTATGTTTGAATTCTTACTTTCTAAAGGGGTTCATTTATAGCACTGGGCTTGTATTATACCTTTAATTTTTTTCATTATCTACCGGCATTCCCTGAATTCCTGGGTAGTTAATGCTCACTTGAGTTTCCTGTCAGTCATATTATACCGTATTTCCATTTTGCTCACCCGTGTAATCTTCTCTGTGGATATGAATAGGCAAAACAGATCAGCCCGCAGTGTTGGAGACCGAACATATTGCTTGTGCTTTTTCCAGTGACAGAAAGGAAAGCAGTGGTTTCTTGCGCCATATGGAGCCTTCCAGTTAGAGGAAAACGGATGCCCTGCGTTCGAAGGGTTTCAGGCGTGGGGAGGGCTGCTGATGCTGTTCCCCATTGCCCTCTGCTCCCTCTCTCCGTCACATACCTCTGCATTTCCCCCCAGGCGGCTTAACCTCATCTATAATCACGAATCTGACTTTTCATCTCCCTGGTCTTACCGATCTTCCCAATTCGCGAGGTTCATCCTCCGGTCTGAGAGCTTTCCAGACCGAGTCCTCCCCGTCCCTGCGGCTGTCCTGCCCCTCCCCGTCCCTCCCGCTGTTTTCGGCGGGCTCCTCACTTCTTTGCCCGTTTTCTGAGGTTTCGGTCGGCAGCGGTGCCTGCGCGTCCCTGGGGCTCTCGGTGCTTCCCTGCCCTGCCCCACGCCGTCGCTGGGCAGACGCTGCTCGGCACCCCGACCCCAGCTCAGCCCGCCGGGCTGCCTCCCCGGGGGCCGTTTCGGGCCGCTGCCCCCGCGCCCCCCGGCCCAGCCCGCCCTCTCTGCCCGGCCCCCGCCTCCCGGCTTGCAGAGCTGGCCCTTCCTTGCTGGCTGGAGTCGGGCTGGGCGATGACTTTTAAGTCTAGGCTGCAGCTCCTCTTCAGCGGGATGAAACTCTTGGCATTTTGTGGCGGCGAGCTTGTGGTTCCTGTGGCCGCGTATTAGTGCTTCTACATCAATTACTGTGGTGCTTTCCTCCAAAGCTAGGTTGCAGTAATAGAATAGATAGACAAATGCTATTAATTATGCCAACATATAGAAATACACTGATAGAGAAAGTTGATCGTGCCATACCAGCCCTACACGTTTGCTGTTACAAGACTCAAAGAAGTTCGTAGGTCTTCAGTGCTGTAGAGTCATTCCTGGCGTTAAAACTTCCCTGGTTTTGTTGCTGAAGCTGGAAAACAGGCAGACACATGGTGAAAAGTTGACTTGATCTTTAAAACGTGACCTTTAATTTTCTGGTTTCCCCAGGATACTGGATACCAGGCTTACTAACAGCAGCCATTGTCTTCCTACTATTGGACATTCCTGATGTTTGTTGAACCCTCACTGGGTGTCCACTGTGTATCTGAAGTTTTATGGTAGTTTTATCTTGCCACACTTTTAGAAATCTTGTAAATAAATGCAGAATAGACAGCAAAAATAATTAAAACATTTGTAATTTTAAGATAGTAAAGACCAAAATCTAATTTTTTTTGCATCTCACATTGAGGCACACTCATCCTTCTGTATAAAGAATTTTTGCAGAGAAACGTGTTCTTCATTCCCTTTATTTCACTGGAAAATAGAAGCTGCGCATCCAGTCTGCTTTATCACACAGTACATTTTGTGACTACAATGAAATCTTAATTATAGAGATGTCAGCGCAGCACCTGGCACTCCCTTGTGGAGTGGGCTGGGCCGGGCTGCGTGAGGGTTGGTGGGGTCCAGGAGGCGCGTGAGACCCTGCCGTCCTGCTTTTCACGCGTTACTGGAGACGGGGAACAGAACCACGGCGAACTGAGCAAAACCGGGTCACGGGATTTATTTGCGATTCACGGTTTGTCACTTGGTGCCAGGGAGAGAGGCATGTCTCTCTCGTGGTAGATACCAGCGTCTTATGCCCGGCAGTTCCGCTTACCTGCGAAGGTGCTGTACTGATAACGAGCTGCTAGAGCGGTCGGGCGGAACAATTAGCGTCGTTCCTTCCCGAGGCGCTGCCGAAGCACCAGGACAGATGGGGCCCTCGAGCCGCGGCACCGCGCGCCCGTACCCGGCAGCCAGCTCCCTCGCCCCCTCCCGCGGGCTCCTCGGGGCCAACCTCCAGCCCAAAGCCTTTCTGTGGTGCCAGACTGCCTGTCAGAGCCGTGCCGCGCTGCAGGCGCAGCAGCGGGTGAGCTCGGCCCCGGCCGGCGGGCAGCAGCTGCCACCTCCTGCTCGCTGGGAGCGTGTCGCCAAATCCCCCACCGCCGCCCGTGACTCAGGCTCGTACCAGTCACCCCCAAATAACCAGCTCTCCTAGGTGCGGGTGAGAGACGGCTTTCTCTTGTCAGCTCGCAGAAAGTGGAGTCTCTGGAGCATACGTAATTGTTCCAGGCAGGTTCGGGATTTCTATTTCAGGGATAATCACATACTCTGTAGTGATATGCTGTCATTTTTAGAAATCCAGTGTGTCGTGCACAGAAAGCAATATGCTGCTACTATGATTTTCTTCCTCAAATGTGGAGATTTGCTTTTTCTTTAATGGGATTGCTTACTAATTCCTGCAGAAGATAATGAAACTGAAGAACCCAGTCAGCGCCCGTTCATCTAACATCATCTGAACTTCAGGTCATCAGAACTATATATTTAATTTATTAAGAGTGACATCTTTGCTGATAGGTTCAAGGGCCTGGTGAATATTCATCTCTAGATTTGTTTCTTGACTGCTGACTAGAGCATGCTTTCTAGATCGGTTGTAGTCATGGATACATGGAAGTGACACTTTTTGGTTTTGTTTTCTCAGCAGCAATGCTTTTTTACAGACTATTCCTAACATTGTAATAAAGAATTGCCAAAAAACTGCCCTCCTGGAGCAATCACAGATCATGAGCGCTTGCACGTGGTTTAATTGCCAAGAAAATGCTGTGCTTTAAAGGTGCTCACTATAGCTGGGTTTCCTCTTTGAGTGTTTCTAACTGACAGAAGTTCAATTAATGGACTAGCTTCCACGTCAGAAAAATTGGATTTGCTACCCCAAATGCTTCAGCGCTGTGTGTGCTAGCGTTCTGAATTTCAGTGGGAACGTTTGTGAGCAAGATGTAGCTGCGGTTGCACGTTGCTCGCTACAGGCTCCCTAATAGAGGCGGCAGGAAAAAAAAACCTCCGTAAACTGGTGCCGGTGGCTGCGGGGGCCCCTGCCAGGGCTGGGTCCTTTGGGACGGGAGGGGCCCGGCGGCCCCTCCCCAGCTCCCGCCGCCTCTCGGCTCAGCCGGCCGCTGGCTCCGGGCGCTACCCGTGTCCTTGCTGGTACCTCCTGGCTTCTCAGCCCCAGAGCCGTCCCTTGCTGAAAGCACGGGGTTCACCCGTGGAGAAGAGGGGCGATAAGGAGCTGACGCACCACGGGTGTCGCTGGGGCGTGGGAGGCCCCCGGGAGGACGGGGCAGCGCTGGTTCCCCCACCTGGTCTTTCCTGGGGTCCCCGGGAGCATCCCAGGGAGGAGAAGGTGCGTCTGCCCTCCGGCCTCGCTGATGGAATGGACTGGGAGTGCGGGGGTATGTGCGGTAGGAGCTGGCCCAGGCTCTGTTTTCAATTTCATTTGGCAAAGTTGTCCGAGTTCTCCTGCAGAAAATGTCCCACGAAAGTGACAATAACAATATTTTGGAGATAAGCCTAGCACAAAAGGGTAATAGGAACTCCACGGGCATGCGTGGGCTTTTGATTCATCCTCAGAGATGACAGATGTGCATTTATTTAAGATCTGGGAGTGGGACTCGGAATATTTGCGGTGAATTCTTTGCTCCCACTCTTCCTGTGTGATTTCGGTCTCCGCTGTCAGTCAAACAGTTCAGTGCTCTCTGCTGACCACCTCATGCTTCACTCACGCTGCAGATCCCCGAGCCGAGCTCCTCTGGCACGCGTCTGGCCACGCTGAGGGCGCGCTGGGCCGGGAGTGGAACCCAACAGTTCAGCCGGAGGGGACCTGCAATGGCTGTTAGTCCAGCCTGGCCGCTTCGGGGCTGGCCAAAAGCTCGAGCTGGTGCTTGGGCAGCGCAGGTGTGCACCACGGGCTTCGTCTGCAGCCGTGCAGCTCACGGAGCTGTGAGGACGTAAAGGAGCTGAGGTGTAGAGAGGCAGTTTGTGAAATGGGAGCAAGGCTGTGTCCTTTACATTGGCTTTTGTGATGGCATTTATTTATTTGTTTGCCTGCGAGACGCTCCCAACTATATGGCAATGGGGATTATCTCATTATTGGTATAAATAGACCTATCTTTTTTATTTGTTTAAGACTGGTATTAGATTAGATCACAGCAATAGTTTAGTAAAAATAATACTGTTTGCAGTGGTTGCTGATCAAGGCAATAGCTGAAGTGTTATGGCAGCGCTGGCCTTTCTTGTCATTACCCCTCAGCGTGGCTCTGGAAAAGATAGCGGATCTGGTCCAGGCGGGTTTGGACATGAGGAGAGGGGAGGTCAGTCCCCATCCTCTGCCTGCCACCCCTTGGAAAGCACGAGTGCCAGGCCGGCTGGCTGGTGGCTGTGCACAGGCGTTTTGGGGAGCCGTGGGGGTGTGGGGCGGGGGGCTGGCCGGCTCTGCCACGCTCTGAGGGCACTCGCGCGCTTACGGCGTCTCGGTGAGACTCCTCCCGTACCGACACGGGTGGAAGCTGCGGGTTAGCTGGTGCTACACCGCTTATTCAGTAATCTAATTCCGCCTGGGTTCGCCTGCCTGGGGCACCCAGCAAAGACACCAGTGGGAAAAAACCAACTGCTGTCCTGCACCTCCCCCGGGAGGCGGCGACTTTTTATTAAAAGCTTGACCAATGTTCTTCGGTTGTCTCCTTGTCTTCTTTTTAAATGTAAGATCTTTGCAGTAGAGCGTTTACAAATTTACATTCTTTTTTCTTTACCTTGTAGTGAACTTTGACCACTTCCAGATTCTCCGGGCGATTGGGAAGGGCAGCTTTGGCAAGGTAGGATTGAACGCTCCCTCTTGAGTTTGCTTGTATGTTTTGTCAGGTGCCTGCTGTTATGTACTTAGGGTTTATTGAAACAGTAACGGTGCTGAAACAGGCTATTTCTGTTGTCGGATTATGGCTGCTAAGTAAACACAGGAAAAACGTGCTCAGGAAAATACCTCGTTGCCATTTGGCTTTGCTTTAATACTTGGCATCTTGGTGAAACTGCTGTACTTTAAACTACCAGCATTGTGATCGTTTCATGGCAAATACTCATTATGTTCTCTGGTTCCTGAGAGGCTTTATGGGTTGTGAGTGGGGACGGGAAGTCAGGAAGGTGGTGGAAGTTGTGCCGGGTGACTGAGCTGGCACAATGTGGTCAAGAGGGTTTTCTGAAGCCTTGGGCTGTTTTCCCACTCAGAAATGAGTTATGCTGCAGAGTTTCTGTTGTTTATTTTTAACAAGTTTTTTTTGCCAAGCGTGTGGGAGAAGGTGGGAGGTGATGATCAAAAAGCTGGATAGCTCTGAAAATCAGCTACTGGTTGATTTCCTAGTTTTATTCCTTTTTTTGTTCTCTTTTTCACCGACTCTCACTCAGTCCCTGTGCAGATAAGTGTTTGCTGCTCCTGTCACGGCATTTTACGCCATTTGTTTGCACTGCAAGCACGGGTTCGGTGTGTGTGTCTGTGCGTGCATGTGCGTACGTCCTTGCACACACAGAGACTTCATTGCATCGGCGCTGCTCTGTCGTCACTGTCACCTGCATTGTGCTGTGCGCCCCACAGCAGCCCTGCCCCTCTGTTTATCTGAGACATCCACGCCCCATGGGCGGGAGCTGTGTGAACCTGCCCTTGATTCAGGAAAACGACTGAATTTTCTGGTTGTAACCCTCTCCTGGTGTGCGACTGCGGGCGTGGGCCAGGACGGGGTGTTAGGGTGGGGCAGGAAAACGGCCTTTGAAACTGTGCAAAATGTCCAATACTGAACTTGTGAAGTAGCACAGGCTAGTTCAGAGGGCGAGGCAAGCGCCTCTGTGTCTCCACACGCTGCTAAGATAAACTGAAGATAAGCTGAGCCATCAGAGGAAAGCTCTAACCTCTCTCATTTCTTTGTGGTCTGGTCATCTTGGCCGGTTTCTCCCATCTTACTTTGGTCATATCGTGGGGTAAGAAAATCTGCATCTGGCCCAGGAGATGAACTGTGCTGTCCTTTGCTTTTAACGAGGCAGTGTCACAGCGGGTGACGGCCCCGTGAGCTGCCTGACCTGCTGCATTCGGTGCTAGGAAGCTGTTTGGATGGCTGGAAACTTTGCAAAAGCAGCAGTTTCTCAGGAGATCTGAGACCTGTTTGGCCAGAAGCGCCCAAATTTTTAGCAATTACTGAAAATCTCTTTTTGCATACTTAAAATGCATTAAGTAGCGTCAGTCTTGAGGAACAGTAGCAGCACAAAATCCGGTGGCAGTCTGGATGAGGTGGAGTCCAGCTTTTCTTAGAGTCAAGAGCACAGACACTATTAGTCATGGTGCTGTCATTAGCACAGCTTGCTAACAAAGGTGTTTTGTCACAGCCTCAGTTAACTGATGAACACTGAGGTGTCTGTGGCACTGTTCTGGTGTGCTCAGGGCACAAACTACCCACGTGAATTCCCTCCTGGCTTCGTTGTAGGACCACAGGGGACTTTCATGGCTAATGAAAGTGTAATGCCCAGTAGTGTGCAAGTCACGGAGAGGGTGGTTTTAATTACAGCCATGTCTCTTGAGCAAGAAGAGGCAAAAGCTGGCAGTGGAGTTATGTCAGATTTCTGAGGTTATATTAGATGATGGAGGATGATTAAATACAAGATGAGGCCCTTCATTAGGGGAACACTGTAAAGAGAAGGCAAACAGCAGAGGAAAGTCTCCCCAGACACTCCTGTCAAGAACAGGGACTCTCAGGGTCTTCTGGCTTCTGCTCATCATCAAAGACCAAAACCTAACTCAAAATCTTACTAAAAAATAGCAGCTGACATTTTTATCAAGCTCATACGAGAAGTCTCATACTTCCAAATGTAAAGTTTCCAGAAAAAACGAGGTTTAATTCTGTTGAGCAGCAGCACTTGGTGTTGGAAAATTAATTCTGCTCAGAACATGAAAAGGAGAAAAAAATATTCTCGTCCAAGTGCAGGACCTTTTTGGCTTTGAAGAAAGCTGCTCCTCATGGCTGCTTCCTTTTCTGTTTATGTTAAAGTAAGGTTAAGTCTAGCACATAGCAGTCTATCAGGCATCAGAATTGTATATACACTTTCAACGAAATGCTGAAATGATTCATCTGTCATCTTTCTGGATAATTATGTCAATATGCTAAATTTCGTTTGATACTGAGAAAACCTTTTTACATTTACAAAGTCATTTACAACTCACATTTAATTACAGAAAATGTAGAACTGCCTACCTGAAAACTGTTATTTTAAATTTATGAGTAATTTAATTGCTTTCGTTGATTTAAGCACTGTCTGCCCACAGTTCAGGAAGGTATTTAGGAGCCGCTGTCCTGTCCGTCTCAAAACAGGGGTGCAGCCCCTCAGTGTGCAATGAGTGAGCTGTGAGATCTGTGCCGCCGTGAGATCCCACAGTGGCGAGACTTAGGAGGCAGCAACTCGCTGGCTGGCTTTGGGTAAGGCATTTGCCTTCCACTCGTGTTTTGTGCACCTCTCAGGACAGACTGTGTGGTCCTCGCCGCAGGAACTGTACCACAGGCAGGAAAAAGGGACTCAGAAATCACTCCTGAAGAGACAGGAGAGCTCCAGAGCTGTGGTTCTGGCATGTCTGCAAAAACTGGGCAATTTCTGCTTCCTAGAGATGGGTTTGATCATCTTTAGGATACTATTAATCAAATGAAGGTCATGCTCAACTCTGTGTTTATTCAAATTAGCAAATGTGCAATATTTTCCATACATATTAGAGGTAATACTACTCGACTTTCAGTATTTTAATAGGAGCATTGTATTTCTCCTGTAGCACAGACTCCTTTCTCAAGCAGCAGCAGTTGCTCGGGTTTTAGCTGGTCCATTGCCGTTACCCCAGGAGCAGTAGCCAGGAGAGGATTTCCAGAATGCGATGCACTTTGGGACCCCCTGTTTTAATGGGAAATGTGCTGCGAGTCTCGTTACGCTTCGCGGGAGACAGTATGAGATCTGGAGATCTCAGAAGGTGTTGGTTGCATTGCAGGCATCCTGACGTCTCCCTTAAAAATTGGCCTCTCCCGGCTTATGTCTTTGTCCGTTCAAACTGGGAGGGAGCCAAGGGGCTGTTTGCCCCTGTATTCCTCCTCCCACCTGGGCTTCCCTCTTGATTCTCCCTCAAGTCAGCTGCTGCCACCTTTTCCAAGGGATAAAAAACTGGATAGGGTGATGGGAATTCATTATTTTCACTTTACTGTTGTGAGGAAATAAAAACATATCTGAAGTTCTTCCGCATGAATTTATGTCTTTGACTGCTGTTGGAAGTAGGGGATTAGACCAAGGGATGGGGGCTGGAATGAGCAGCAGCGTGAAATGAAATTTTCCAGAGAGAACAAATACGTTCTGTGCTGGGCGAGCCCGTGCAGGTAGCCCACAGGGGCCTGGAGGGTGGTGTTGTCATTTTAATTCTTTTTGTTTTTTTTCCTTTGAGGAATTTGTGAAGTTTTCATGGGACCTCTGAAGGTGCAGGGGAACCCATCTGGTAGCAAAGAGGCTTTTGTAGCTGTCAGGCTGCACAGTGAGGGCCTGGAGAACAGGGACCCCAGAGAACCCCCCGGCCTACTGGCACCTGGGGGGTGGAGGTGGGTGGGAGGTGGGCAGGAGCCACGGTGGGGGATGACCGTCCTCAGCACGGAGGGTGGGCACGGAGAGGTGGGCATGGGGCAGAGCAGGGTGGGCATGGAGCATGGAGAGGTGGGCACGGAGCACGGCGGGTGGGCACAGAGAGCATGGAGGGGTGGGTGTGGAGCAGAGCAGGGTGGGCATGGAGCATGGAGGGGTGGGTGTGGAGCAGAGCAGGGTGGGCATGGAGCACGGAGGGGTGGGCATCAAGGGTGGTCACGGAGCACAGTGGGTGGACACAGAGCATGGAGGGGTGGGTGTGGAGCAGAGCAGGGTGGGCACAGAGCATGGAGGGGTGGATGTGGAGCAGGGTGGGCATGGAGCACGGAGGGGTGGGCATGGAGGGTGGGCACAGAGCACAGTGGGTGGGCATGGAGCACAGTGGGTGGACATGGAGCATGGAGGGGTGGGCGTGGAGCAGAGCAGTGTGGGCACAGAGCATGGAGAGGTGGGCACGGAGCATGGAGGGGTGGGCACGGAGCATGGAGGGGTGGGCACGGAGCATGGAGGGGTGGGCACGGAGCACAGTGGGTGGGCACGGAGCATGGAGGGGTGGGCACGGAGCACAGTGGGTGGGCACGGAGCACAGTGGGTGGGCACGGAGCATGGAGAGGTGGGCACGGAGCATGGAGGGGTGGGCACGGAGCACGGCAGATGGGCACGGAGCACAGTGGGTGGGCACGGAGCATGGAGAGGTGGGCATGGAGCACAGTGGGTGGGCACGGAGCACAGTGGGTGGGCACGGAGCATGGAGAGGTGGGCACGGAGCACAGTGGGTGGGCACGGAGCATGGCAGATGGGCACAGAGCATGGAGAGGTGGGCACGGAGCATGGAGGGGTGGGCACGGAGCACGGCAGATGGGCACGGAGCATGGAGGGGTGGGCACAGAGCATGGAGGGGTGGGCACGGAGCATGGAGGGGTGGGCACGGAGCATGGAGGGGTGGGCACGGAGCACGGCAGATGGGCACGGAACACAGTGGGTGGGCACGGAGCATGGAGAGGTGGGCACGGAGCACAGTGGGTGGGCACGGAGCACAGTGGGTGGGCACGGAGCATGGCAGATGGGCACAGAGCATGGAGAGGTGGGCACGGAGCATGGAGGGGTGGGCACGGAGCATGGAGCGGTGGGCACGGAGCACAGTGGGTGGGCACGGAGCATGGAGGGTGGGCAC